CTGTCGCCAACGACCATACCACGTTGAATACACCAGTTCTCGTCCGATCACTGAAGTTAAGCAACGTCGGGCGTAGTTAGTACTTGGATGGGTGACCGCTTGGGAACACTGCGTGCCGTTGGCGTTTTTTCCATTTTTTTTTTATAAATTATTTATTTTAAATTCTGAGCAGACCAATATTACAATTCTGTTTTTTTTTGGCCTGTCATCTTTTTTTAGGATTATGAAAATTCGATTAATTAATAATTCGATTTTCTTCAACWGTATTTTTATTATTTTTACTATCCAAACGAGATACAATTTTTAAAATAATATTCTGATTTTTTATGCAGGACTATTTATAAACATTTTCAATTTTTATTAGTTTTTTTTTCTATAAATGTTAAAATTTTATTTGGGTAAAAATTCAAAATCCTTGAAAATTTAATAAAAGTATCCTCGWCATACGTTATTACAATAGTAGTTTAAAAATATTAAAATTACATAGGCACGATATTTTTTTTAAGAATATTGTTATATAGGTTCAAATGTTGACAAAATTCATCATAGAATTCAAAGGTAACACATCCTTAAGAGGATAACGCTATACCCACATTTGTTGCCTTCGTCTTGCAAAATATGTAAAACATAGCAAAAACTGTTTTTCGAGGTAAAAAACCAAGAAGGCTACTGACATGACACTTAAGAAACTTAGAAACGAAATTTCCATCCCCTAAAAAGGAAAATTTCGGTATTGTATCAAAATTACATGCCATTAGGTTATTACAATATTTTTTCGATTACAAGAATATTACTAAATATTATTATTTGTATTGGATAAACTGATCAGTWTTTATTTAACGAATTTGCGAACTTCTGCTACGCACTAATAAACAGCTACCTGGCGTGTGTACGTTGTACGGATTGACTTTCGGATAAAACAGCGTTCCCCGTCCAATGTTTAACCTGCGGTGAAGCTCTAACCATATWAAACACGTCCTTCTATACACTGCCGCAATTTTGCTGATACCAGAACCTCCCCTAAACATTCCAGAACACCTTTATGAAGCACTTGGACCAGATTGTGA